TTCTTTATTGAAACAAATTTCAAATAGGCAACCCCCAGCCTGACTTGGCTGAAGGTTGAGAGATAAGGGGGCTTCACGGCCTACGGGGAGTATTTGTTGAGAAATTTTTCGTTAATTGGCATCATAAGTCTGTTGCCTTTTTTATCGATGAGGCGATAAGCTCCGTTTGAATAGACTGATTCTATTACAAATGGCCCTTCCCACTTGGGGTTGGACTTCCCTTTGGTCTTATGTGTTATTACCATAGGTCGTCTGACGGCTAATACCAATTCGCCTTTCTTAAAAATTCATTCTTTAACTTTTTTGTTGTAAGCCTTCGAAATCCGAGCTTGATATAACTCAATCTGTTGCTAAGCTTGGAGTCGCTTGGAGTCTAAGGCTTCAAGTTCCTGAAGGCACAATCGATGTTTCTCATCCTCTGTCATTCTGTTCACGATGGCAATTCTCAGGGAAGGGATTTGGATTTCCAATGGCAATATAGCTTCACAGCCATATACCAAAGAGAACGGAGTGACTTTTGTAGGGGTTGGGGTCCTCACCGTCGTACGATAGGCCCACAGACATTCATCAAGTTTCTCGTCCCAATAACGTCAGCTCTTGGAAATGAATTTTCTGAGAAGCTTCATAATGGTCTTGTTAAAAGCTTCTACGAGGCCATTTGCTGGTGGATAATATGTCGTAGATGTGTCACGCCCCGCTTCCCAAAATGCCGGGGAATCGGAACGTGAACAAGCCTGCGACATATTAGATTAAGGAGAATAAATAAAAATAAATATTTTTCCTCAACCTAATACGCTAAGCATCAAGAAATAAATGCAAAGGCACAGGTCCCCGTTTACAGATAGCAAGAATATAATGAACAACTCAGAATGGAAAAGAGACATATCACAAATAGAATATCATCCGTGACACAAAGTTTGGGTCAAACATGCCCTTATTACAAAAATGATCCAACTAGGAATATAAAAATACATAGTCCATAATAAAAGAAAGTACTGCTAAAAATAAACTAAGGACCATCAAATAACTAAGAAAATAGTTAAGCTTCAACTTGTTTTTCTGCTCCGTCTGCAAGGTACTCCTGCTGAGAATCCTCTGGCTCCTGTACGACCCCGAACTAAGGTTGTCCGTCTCCTAAATCTGACGTATACCAGAGAAAATATGTGTACGTCAGCGTGCATGGCACACAACAAGATCCTACAAGGGAGAAAGAAACGGTTGAACGACCAAGGAAAAAACAGATATAATAATAATAGAAGTATGGTATTGAAATTCTAATAATTTAAATGCAATCCACCATTATAATAATATAATAATCAAAAGAATCCAAAAATCAACCAAGTAACAAGATCATACAGCTAGCCATCCTATAATCATCCACATAACAAGGTCATACATCTAGATGGAATCAATACTTAAAAATCTACAACAAGAGACGTAGTACGTTAAGCGAAATAATCCAAACAAGAAAACCCCCATGTATATACTATATGTCTCAAATTGTAGATAATTAAATATTAATCATGATTTATGTATGAAAATAAAATACAACTGACCTATATCTCACAAGAATCCATAATCACCTTAAGTAACAAGGTCATGTAACTAGCTATTCTATAATAGGTTACTGGTCCATATCTCACACAGAGTCAACGCTCATATCATCGGATAACTGACTGTTCACAAATCTCCTACGTGCATCCAATATCGCTACACAAACTCGGTCAGAGGACTACACTCAATCCGTTTTTAGCCTGATCCGGACTCAAGCTAAACTCGGGTGAATATCAAATTCACGAACTAAAGTAGCGACACCGATCCACTTTGTCCCAACAAACCAACCCCAGTGGTGACACCGATCCACTGGTACGAGCTTGGAAGATATATCAACAACCTTATCTGATCACATAAACAAAGACTTCCCCATCCCAACTCTTCTCGCTTACAAAGACTTCCTCATCCCAACTCTTCTCGCTTTTTTAAGTCAAACATAATCCACACTATCTCTGGTTCACCACCTAAATTCAGTCAACACACCCACACATGTCACTAGGTCTGTTCATGACGTACGAGGCCACTAAGTCATGAACTACTAAGGTTCTCAATACAACCAGGAACAATAAAAGCAAACATGTCAAATACAGTAAAATATTTACAAAACATGAAATGCAATCATGAATAGTAAAATTACACATGCAAACCAATTTTATCAATATCTTGTTATCCGAATCTCAAAACTACTCATAAAAATTATCAACAGCTAAATAATATCTAATATAACTACGGTTAAAAATGTAATCGAAAAACCATGATCGTTTTACACATAAAATGTCACAGTCTACAACTACCAACATAAAATCATAATTTAATTTAAATTCAAAATAAATAATTCTTTTTTACAAAATAAATTCCTTTAAATCATCATAATTATCAAAAATATAATTCTTTTGCCAAAAATAACTTAACAACTCAAAATGACCCCTTTTTCGAAATAAATAATTTTAAATTATCTACTTTAATAACTATTCAAAACTAACCCATTTTCTAAATAAATTCATTCTCATCATAATTATTCTAAAAATAATCTTTAAAAATAATAATCTATTAATTCTTATCCTTACAATATCAGTTATTCTCATTTATCATCAAACAATCCACGCAGATAATTATATCACAATTTAAAAACTACAACCAATCACACTACAATCAAAATATGCATATAATGTGTAATAAATCTTAAATTCAGATTTGAGTAAGAGGGATCTTGCCTCGGGTACGTCGAATGAATCGACGTCGACGTGTAAGATTACGGTGAGGCGATGGCGAATGTCGGGCTGTGCGCGGCATCGACGCGACGAACGAATGCTGAAGAGAACCGGTATGGAGGGCAGCGGCTCTGCTAGTGCGGCTAGTATCGAATTGTGTTGTAGATAACGAGCGGGGGATATAAGAGGTCTACACGGAGCTCGCATAGCGGTAACGAGAGAGGTTTCGGATTGCTGCAGTGAGGGTGGTGCAGATTGTAAGGAGGCTATGGTGCTGGATTGGCGAATAGATGCGTGGCTGCGCCAGAGAGAGGCGGGGCAGATGATAGTCGGAGTAGGAGAGGTGGTGTTGATGGATAACGGATCGCGCCCCTTCTTCTACCGCTCCTGTGGTGCGAGAGAGGGACTGGTCGGGCTGCGTTGAGGATGGTAGCGGGTCAAGGCTGGGGGAGGGGGCGGCCTGGGTGGCCTATGGAAGTGGCGACGACTGTACAGAGCGAGTATAGAGAACGAGGAAGAATATGAAGATGAGAGAGGCGCCGTGGGATCTCGTTCTGGGAGGTTTGCTAAGGAGGAGAGGGCGCATACACGTAATCTGGGCGTATCCTTCGGGCGATCGATGCGGTCTTGGACGACGGCTCAGGCGTCTAGGGGAGAGGTCGTCGTGGCAGTCAGGAGAGAGTGGTGTACGGGGGTTGGCGGCTGAGTAACGTGAGAGAGAGAGGGGAGATATTTATAGATAATATTAGGGTTTTGAAAAACAAAAATTAATTAAAATATTAATTACTGATATTTAAAAATCAAAATAATTATGGAACATTTATCTACAAATAAAAACATACTAGTTATATTTATATAGTAGCTGATACGCAACAGTAGAAATAATACAACTAATTATACAATTAAACGAGAATAATTAATAAAAAATATAATTATTTACATTTAAAATCAAATAATTATGGGGAAATTATTTATAAAATAAAACATACCAGTTGTATTAATACAACAAGTAATATGCACTAGTAGAAATATTACAGTAAATTATACAAATAATACGTAATTAATAATACAACATAATACACGAAATAGTACGTAATAGTAACAATAATACAACGTATGATACATAATAGTATCAATAACACAATAGATTAATTCTAGAAATTTTCACCGCATGAAATTAATTTATAAATATTAAAATTATTTAAATAAATATAATATTTAGACTTTTAAATCATATAAATTTATAAAAATTTGAAAAAAATACAAATACTCTTTTAAAAATCATAATTAAATATTTTAAAATACTAGAAAATTATTTTAACTAATATCAAAATTTCACAGTCATTACAAGATGTAACACTTTGGATTCTAAACTTATCACAAAATCTCTAAAATCCATAGCTGACAAATTATGTTCCGTTGTCATGGACTATTTGTATCGGGACTCCAAAACGGTAGATGACATGATGCTTGATGAATTTGATCACATTCGAAGTCTTATTTCAACATGACTGCTTCTATCCATTTGGAGAAGTAATCGGTTATGGCCAAAATAAACCGATGTCCTTTGGAAGTCGGAGGAGCGATGAGTCCGACAATATCCATATCCCATATCTCGAATGGCCAAGAGGCAGATGTCGGATGTAGGTTCTTTGGTGCCTAATGAATAAAGTCGTCATGGATTTGGCATGCGTGACAACGTTTAGCATAGTCAACTGCGTCTGAAAACATCTTTGGCCAATAATAACCAATTCGTCGGAGGTGGTCTTCCAACTTAGCCCCGGGTTGATGAGCTCTACACATCCCTTCATGAGCTTCCTTGAGAGCATCTTTCGCTTCTTTCCTAGAAAGACAATGAAGCATAACTCCATTGTATGATTTACGGTACAAAATTTGAGATGTCGTGTTGTAATAGAATCGGAGGGCTTTCCTCCGTTTGATAGCGGTCGCTTCCATGGGATTATCAGGTAAAATCCCGTATAAAACATAGTTGATATATGAGAATTGCCAGTCTCTAGGTTCGAATTCCATTGATGTTGTGCAGACTTCTCCAGTTACCGCTTCGTCGGATTGTTTTTGTGAGGAAATCTTGGGGTAATATAACTCACATTCTGAGACAGGAATTGTTATTTCAGCCCCGGGTAGCAATGCTAATGATGTTGCAAATGAAACCAAAGCATCAGCGTAAGCATTCTGAGTTCGTGGGATATACCCGATGAAGAAGCCTTTGAACTTTCATTCTTGTTCTAGGACCACAAAGTAATATGGGAGTAAATCCTCATTGCGTACTTTGTATTCTCCACAGAATCGATTTACGATGAGCTGAGAGTCACCGTATGCTTCGAGGTGTTGAATGTTAAGCTCCTCAGCAAATTGCATCCCTAATAGTAGAGCATTATACTCAGCTACATTGTTGGTGCAGGGTTCGATCAGAGAAAATCCTCTTGGAATCACGTGACTATTTAGAGAGATGAATACTACTCCTACTCCCGCGGTAATTGCGCTATGAGGGTTTACTCTGGATGCACTATCAAAGAATAACTTCCATACTTGCATAACTTCTTGGGCTACGCAAGATTCAGCGACTTCGTCAGGTAAGTCTTCATACAACTTAGATAATCCCGATACCAGATGATCAGCTAGGAAATCAACTACAGCTTGACCTTTAACAGCCTTCTGGGGCATGAACTGCATGTCATACTGTGACAGGAGAATTGCCCATTTTGCTAATTGACAATTCAGTGAAGATGGTTTCTTCATAAGCACTCTCAATGGGTTTACCTTAGAGATGACATGAATTATTTGTCCGACTAGGTAATGTCGCATCTTTTGGACAGCAAACACCAAAGCAAGGCATTCTTTTTTGACTGGATTGTAGCGATGCTCGGCTCCCGTCATGGTCCTACTTAGAGAGTAGATTGCTTGCTCCTGTCCTTGATTGTTATTTTGGGCTAATAAGGCTCCAAGAGAATGATTCATAGCCCTCACGTATAGCAGAATGGTTTTTCTGATATCGGGTCACAAGAACGAGCGGTTGAGTAAGATATCTCTTAATCTCCTCAAATGCCTTCTGGAGGTCTCCATCCCAAACGAAGGATACCCCTTTATTCATGAGTTTAGAGAAAGGTTGGCAGCGTCCCGAAAGGTTGGAAATGAATCTCCAGATGTAGGTTAACCTGCCTTGCAAACCTCAAAGCTCTTTGAGGTTTTTTGGAGGTGGTATGTCTTGGATGACACACACTTTTTTTTGGATCAAGAGAAATTCTCTTGGACGTAACTATGAATCCCATGAATTTTTCACTTGACACTCCAAGGAATGATTTAGTCGGGTTCATTTTCAGCTGATGTGCTCTCATAATGTCGAACATTGTTTTTAGATCTGTAAGATGATCAACTTTGTGTTGACTTTTCACTGCTATATCATCAACATAGCATTCAATCTTCTTGCGTAAGTGCTCATGAAAGATTGTGTTCATTGCACGTTGGTAGGTCGCACCTGCATTTTTCAATCCGATGGGCATCACTGTGTAGTAATATACTCCCAATGGTGTTCTGAAAGTAGTATGTTTTTCATCTTCAGGATACATTTTGATTTGGTTGTACACGAAGAAACCATCCATGAAAGACATCCTTTCATCCCGCATGTATTATCGATCATAACATCCGTGATGGGGAGTGGAAACTCATCTTTTGGACATGCTATGTTCAGGTCACGAAAGTCAATACATATCTGGACTTTACTGTTTTTCTTGGGCACTGGAACAATGTTGGATACCCAATCAGAGTGTTGTTCCTCTCTTATAAATCCCGAGTCAATAAGCTTTTTGACTTCTGACTCAATTACTTCCATGATATCTGGACGAAACCGACGTTGTTGTTGTTTAATGGGTTTTGCGTCTGGATCAATATTAAGATGATGCATGGCTACTTTTGGATCAAGGCTAGGCATATCTTCATAGTTCCAGGCAAAGACATCTATATATTCTTGAATGAGAGATATAAGATCTTCTTTCTCAGATGGTGATAAGCTTTCACTTATGAAGATTGGTTTAGGATCAGATTCGTATCCCATATTAACTTGGATTATTTTATCTTTAGTGGGTGGCTCACGCTGTTCAAAGCGTATATCCCAGAAAATGTTAAGACGCTTGATCCAAGGGCCATTGGTTGATTCGATCAATTCTTTGTCACCCCCTGCGTCTTCGTCTGGGTGGCTAGTCGAACCCATATCTACGGTCAAAGTTTTGAAGAAGGTTCCAACACTAATGTTGGACTCCCATGATGACGTCCCAGATGAATGTTCTTGACACAGACAATCACTAGTTTTGTTTTCTAAAAGAGAAGGGGTTGTGACATAACCCACACCTCTTCCAGTTTTTTGATAATAGTCAGGAGGTTTTCCTTCCGGAGTGAGAGACATTCGAACGGGTGTTCGTCGTCATCCTTTCCTAAAATTTAAAACTCTCTTTTCATTAAAATCATAACCCATTTGTTTCATTGAATGGATGGAATTGAGTTCATGGTAATGGAATTGAGGAACCCCATTATCTTCTTCTGAACTTCCTTGCTTGAATAGTTCAGGTTTGACTTTCCCAAAATAGATAGGCTTCTGCCCTTTCCTTTTGGATGGGACTTTGAAGAAAGCCTTTCGGGTATTCTCGATTTCTTCATCTTGTAGAGAAGGATGATTTAATCGGTAATGTGAGTGATGTCTTTGTGCATAATGTACGCCATATGTTGGTACCTGCATCAGTATCATTCTCTATTTGTTTATTTTTAGAGGACACATCAGATAAGTATGCTAAAATAAAATCTTTATTAATGTACCACTCGCTCTCACTCGGTACATTATTATTGCTCTCAATCTGACCCATTACATCAAAATTTAACTCCCATGGACAATCTTCCTTAGGATCTGGCTCGATGTCGGCTTCATGGCCACTGTTAATATCTTCTTCAAATTTCTCTTGAGATTCCAGGTAGAAGACAGAATCTATGTGGAAGTTTTCTACCCCTCTGAAAGGACGCTTCTCAGCAATTAGGGTTCAGACTTCTCCTTCATTATTAACATACTTTATAACCTGATGTAGGGTAGATGGGACAATGCGGTTCGCGTGAATCCACGGTCTCCCTAACAACAAGTTATAAGATGTGTCTGCATCTATAATGTAACAAATCACTTCGGACTTGAGATCTCCGATTTGACATCTGAGCTTGATCTTCCTCAGAGGCCGAGTGTGGTTGGCGTTGAAACTGAAGATAGTGGTATGGGTGGTGTTTAACTAATGCGTGGGAATTCCTAAGACCTGCATGACCCTGTAAGGCATAATGCTAAGTGCCGAGCCCAGATCAACTTGGACACGACTGATCTTCGAAGACCTAATATATCATGTGTAATATAAAGGTCTGTCGTGCTTGTGTTTGACTTGCATATCTTTCTGAGTGAATGATATGCAGGGTAAACTTCTTGCTGCTTATAAACACTATATACATGATTAGGCATTAGAAGCTTCAAGAGTCAGATGTAATAAAGCTTTTCGTGCTCATTAAAACTTCAATTAGAGCTTCCTTGGTGGTTTTAGACAATCGTAGAAGCTCATACAGGGTAATCCAGGCCGGTATGTTGGCTAACTGCACCATGACATTGAATCGGAAGGGACCGCTTGATTCTCCGGGTTCTTGGAAAAGGTTCTTATTGTACCTTGTTTCTTTTTGTTTCCCTTTGTCGGTTGACTTATGAGGGACAGAACCCCCAGCGTCTTGAGGCTGTTCTTCTGTTTCTTGAGCACCTTGATCATAGTTCCTTAGATAAGCTTTTCCTGACTGGGTGCCAGGGTTGCCACCTTAGTCTGCTACAAGAACGACCCTCTTCTTCTGAATCAGTGGGAGGTTTGAGGTAGTCATCATTCTCATTAATGGAGGGGCTAATCATGTTGGATGACTTAGTCTTACCTCTTTTCTTTTTGGACGAGGTGTTCGTCCTCTGTTGGTCTTTAACCAGATCGGGATGGACCCACATAATCTCCCCTTTCGAGGTAGTAAAGAGAGTTAATCATTTATCTTTCTGACCATGTAGGTTAGTGTTTTTTATGTGCATTTCTCCTTTATAGATGGACATAACTCCATCTGCATCTATTACAGGAGGGAAATTACCGAACTGGACCGCTTTCAAATTAGTAGATACAGTCTTCTGCTCGGGCTTCAATGTGAGCACATTAGCATTCACCAAGTTTTGCAGGATATCCTTGAAAACATAGCATTTTCTAGTAGGATGTCCTAGGAACATGTGATAATAGTAGTAATTAGGGTCATCTACTTTTCCTGCCTCATCCGGTTTCCTAATCTCGGGAACTTGCAATTTGTTATTCTTTCGAAGTAGTTGGAACAAAGTGTCCACATGCTCCTCTTTAAACGAGTATTGCTTAGGCGCTCTTTGCTGATTCAGTGTTTTGCCTTACTTAGCAGGTGATGCTCATGTGTTGGAATTGGCAGCCAAAGTCTCCTTTCCCTTGGATCGAGGAGCATTGTTTTGGTTGTGTTGCTATTGTGGTTTCGGTTGAGTAGCCTCTTCAGCCTTGACCCAAGTAACGATTTCTTCAACCTACTCCCCTTACAAAACCAATTGTCTCCAAGAGTAACATTCCGCTACCCCTATTTGAGCAATGAGCTGAGTCTGCAAGTTATGCCTATAAGTTTCGACCAAAGTAGATTGGGTCATATCTGATAGGCATCATAATGCCATGTTGTGGAATCTTTCGCCGTAAGTCTTAATAGATTCTCCCTTCCTCCGATTGGTGGTGAGAAGGGTTAGGACAGACACTTCTGTATAATCCTCAAAAAATCTGGCTAAGAATAGCCTTTCCAGATCTACCCATTTTTGAATAGACCCAGCAGGCAACTTCATGAACCATTCGAAAGCAATGCCCTTAAGGGTGCTAATGAAAATTGAGTCAGAATGGCGTCATTTGCCACCACGTCTCCGGTATGTGACTTGAAGTAGTAGACATGTTGATTTGGTGATACTGTACCGTCGAAAGGTTCCAAGGTTGGGACCTTAAATTTCGGTGGATAAGGAGCTACGTCCCATTCCGCGGGGTAAGGTCGTACCACTCCTTCTTCGTGAAGCTCATTGTTGTTATCTATTGCATTAAGGCGAGCCTCTAACTTGTCCATTTTAGATGATTGAGGATTTTGTTCCTTATCAGCTTCTTTCTCATTTTTAGAAGAATACTCTAGCTTGTGAGTCTCATGATCTGAGTTCTAGTGTGCCTTTTGTTTTCCCTTTGAAATTGTCCTCCGGGAAGATTCAGGCTTTTTGGCCTTTCTCTGCAAGGAGCTGGGCTAACATATCCTTCATTTGGACAAACATCTCCTACTGTGCATGAATCATGACATGATGTTCGTCGACTTTCTTGGCTAAGTCATCGGAACTTCCAGTCATATAGGCGGGTTCCTCATGTGCTGTAAAAGAGCTTGATGATTGTGAATCCATAATTGTTGAGTGTTCATCATCCGAAATGATTCCCTGAGCTCATCTTTGATAGTTAACTGGGCGGATAGCTCCTATCTAGGTTCGAGTGTGGCGATATACTCCTTCGAACTCGTTATAAATTTCTTGGACAGTCGGAGAATGACTTCTCTCTGACTCGTCAGAATTAGGAGCTGAAGCCTACCCTCTACCGATCGCATTAATAGTGACTTTAGGATAATCAGCTTCAGAACTCTTCTTTTTGTGATGACGTTGTCGCTTGGCGGGCCTAGTGATGTTTGTCAATCTGTCAAATACCGATAGCCGAGGTGCGGATGCGCAACAGTGGCATTCTGAGAGGACTACAGAAATAAGCCGCTCACATTAACATGAATGAGCTATTTGTTGTGAAGGTCTTCCTCTCGACAAC